AGTTCTTTCCATACAAAACATGCAGGCAATTCTCAGTTATCTGGGCACACAGGGAGAAGCAGAAACAGCCAGTACAACAGAAGAAACTACTTAATACAAAACATGGGTCAACAAAAGCATCAAATCATAAGAGCAAAGTCTGGACTGAAAAGAATTACCATTCTGGGACACCAAGAACCCCAAGCTGAGAATTGATGTGGTATAAGAAAGCAAGTTGCTCTGGTCCCAAAGCAAGTCCTGCTAGCCCTCAGCAGGTCTGTGAGAGCCTGCAAACACTTCCCAGCTTCGGGCAGCAGCAGCTGCGATACAGCTAATCCTCATTTAGCCCAGGAGGATTGAGGGCTGACAGCACGGTGGAGAAGGGAGGGAGGATGCTGTGCATATGCTATCCACTCCCCCAGCAAAACAAGGAATGAAGGCATCAGGGATGGGAACAAATTAATCAGTTTTCATACACATAAAATGATAGCCATCATCTGGACTGGGTTTCCAAAGCAGGTAACAAGGGCAGTAACCCGGAAAAGTGTATCAAGTCAGTAAAGCCGGTTATGTCCATCGCATCTTATCTCCTACATATTGAAAAATAAAACCAGTCCCTCCTTCCTGAGAGACTTAATCCTCTAGACAGGATTAAAGTCTATCAGTCACCGGGCTACTCTGGGGAGAACAATCCAGCATTTGCTGGGCGATAGCCGAGATGGTATCAGCAAGAGATCCGAGTGTGCCTGGAGAGGAATTAGAGGGGAGCACAGGCAGCCTGAAGGTAAGGAAGTATTTTCTGCTTTTAGCTTCCCTAGTAGCACACAGTGACATTTCAGGCAAACCAGCTGCCATTTTCATGCCTTGTTAATCTCGGTGGTACAATCGGAGCGAAGCCAAGCCCAGCTCTGGTTCTGGCTTCTCTCAGTTCCCACTGACTGTAATTACAGGCAGATGCCTTTGATTGTTTTTGCCGCTCAGGTCCCAGGCACCTTGAATGTGGCACCCAGGATCAGAAGACACTTTGGAAAACAGTGGCTGCAGCCAGATTAACCTGTCTCAGAGACAAGGCATTTCTCCCAAGGCACTTGGCAGCACCTCACACTCTGGCAACTGCCTCAGCCCGTGCACTCATTTTATTTACTGTCACCCTGTAGTGGCCATGAACTCCTGCACCCGTACCCTTGTTTCTTGTCAGCTTGCAGGACTCTACCAGCCTCACCCAACACAACTGAGAACAGAGAGGTGTCTGCTAAGGAGGAGACACGACACTTCTCTGCAGTACCTTCTTGGAGAAGATCTGCAGCACAAATAGTTCCTTTTGTCTTGGTCTAACGCAGGTCAGGATGGCTATGCAGGTCAGCTACACCCCAAACACTGCTCTCCTAAAAGATACAGCTTTGTTCCGCAAGAGGAGTGCCCTCTGCTGAAATACCAACGGTCCTACAACAGGCAAAGCATTTTCCCCAGTTTCCTTCACGTAAGGAGCAGGTTGCCTCGTAGCTCTGGAACACAACCCAGGAGAGATCACAACCCAAACGACAGGCAAGTGAATACAGTCCATTTAATCCAGTCAAACACAGAGCGACCACAGCAGCAAAAACGAGATAGACTGAGGCATGTCAGGTGCGCAGGAATGAAACAACAGGCAGAACGTGTTGACAGATCTAAGACTGCAGAACCATAGGTGCCACATCTCTCCAACACACAGAGCCACCTCTTTCTCCATGCTGGACAAAGTTCTGAAGTCTCATCTCTGGTGGCCAGAAGGAGGAGGCTGGAGAGAGGCATTTGGAGCTGGAGTAGCTGCCCTCAGCATGGTCAGTGCTCTCAAATAGGAGCACCACTGCCCACCTGCAAGGAGCAGAGCAGCCACCCCAACTGCTCCATGCTGGAGAGAGGACACCCAGTGCAGAGAAGAGTTTCAGGGCTAAATCCCAGCCCAAGGAACGTCAGAGCTTCCTCAGTGCAACTCACCAATCCAGCCTCTCCTGCCCTAAAAGCTAGGGAGCCCCACCAGCAAAGATGAGCTCCAGTGCAGCTTGAATGTCCCCTCCAGTGGCCTGCAGGGCTCGGAGACTTAACTCATCATCGTGTATGCCCATGTCTCGCAGCTGCTGAAGCTGTGGTTGCCACTGGCTCTACAGACAGGAAACACAAGACGCTAAGGATAGGTGCAAGAGTCCAAGCAGAAACACAACAGCCTTATGTACAGCCCACTCTTCCACGCTGCATTCTCCCACCTCTCTCTAGCCCACAAGTGCAATGCTAAGTGAGAAAACAAGTCTTGAAATGTCAAAGTCTTACTGTAAACTCCCCAAATCCATCAGCCCACCCGTCTCGCTTCCACCCAGTACTTTTGCATCAGTCTAGCATAAGCCGCTTCTCCAGTGACATCCCTTTCAGCTTAATGCCTTGTCACAGGGGGCAGCTGGAAGAACCACCTCCACCCTGCAACACTTGATGTGATGTGGGGCTTTCATGGGCTCCAAGGAATAGGCTGTGACACTGACCTGCAGGCTGGGCTGCCCTGAGGCCTGCAGGGCATGCTGTAAAGCCTGGCTGAAGAGGTCGTTGGTGATGGGTGTTCCTGACTGGACACTGGATGACATTGGGGAGGTCCCAGAGGAGTGACCCTAGGAGGAAATAAGTTGTATATGGATCAGAACATTTGTCGCAGGAACAAAAGCCAGCACAGGGCAACACCCACTGCACCCCCACTATCATACCTCCCCAAGCCCATACAAAGGAGACTCCAACCTTAAGAAAACAAACCAGCAAGAGCTCCCAGACCTGAGCAGGGCTTGCAATCAGTCTAGTGCTGGTTTTATAGCCCAGGAGTATCTCCCTGGCTGCTGCACTGCCACTGTACCTGGGTGCCAGGGGTGGGTGTGTGGGAACTGCTCTCTGGGGTGCTTGCCAGTGCCAGCGCGGTCGCCAGCTCACTCTGGGTGATGGGCCGGGGTCCAGCAGCCCCGGCATAGCCAAGGGAAGCTGGGCGGGAACCAGAAGTGCTGCTGGATGGGGTAGATCTCGTGCCCTGCATGGAAGAAAAAAAACAATCACCTCTTGACATTGGTGTCCATATCCCAGTAAAATCTGGCTCATGTGTCCATTCCCAGGGAACTTTCCTACAATACTCGAAACTCTAGTGTAGAACTTAAAAAAAATAAACATAACAGAATCAGATGTGCTTTTTTCCACAAACTCAGCTTTTACAAAGCTACGGAAACTGGCAATAAACCTTTTAATGTATCATCCATCATCTTAAAACCAAAGTGTTACTAGCCTGTACAAAACAATTAGCTGTTGACAGGCACTTTTTCAGTGGAAATATGCAGTTTCTCTTACAAAATAATTTGGTTTTAGGAGAGGAAAAGCTCCCTACATTACAGAAGGGTGAGGATCAACACTCTCATGCTTCTCAGCCATGCTCATCTGTGCACATCTCTGCATCGGTTTGGCTATGAAGGTGCTTACTGCGAGGACAAGTGCTGTTCTGAGTTGTGCTTCTGCACTCTTCTTCTCCCTACCTCAGCACTCAAGAAAATCCTAACAGGAACAGCATCCAAGCAAATCACAATCAATATGTTTGTTTCCACAACACCCCTAGGAGCCAGAGGAGTTTGTGCTGTTCGTAAACATGAAGAGAGAAAACCTTTGGAGACTTTAAGGGCTACAAATTAAACCCATATTTCAAGTCCTAAACAGTCATTCCACCCAACCTGGCTGCTTACCTGGTGGAAGTCATCTTCATCATCAGAGAGACCTTCAAAGAGAAAGCCACCTGCAATAGAAAGGAGAATCAATAGAGGAAAACTGGGTGCTGGAAGGAATTGGGCACCAGATGAAAATCCAGTGGATTCGTGGGCCATGCAGCCAGGCTCAGCCTCAGCTAAGGCACTGGTTAGGACAGAGGACTCAGCACCAACAAGTTCACATGCACATCAGTGGAAGACAGGTCAGGTCCATCATTTGCACAAAACACAGGTCACAGCACTCTGCTACCAACAGGCATTATACAAGCTTGGTTGGGAGAGGCCCTGAGGACAGAGTCCCAGAGGAATCTCACACAGTGCAAAATCTGCCAAACCACAGAGCACGTTTCTAGCTCAGGAACCTGCTAGAAACCTCTCTTCCTTCCAGCCTGGGATGGCTCTGTCAGTACAGCACAGATTTGTCTACAAATCCTGCAGCACATCATCTCTGCAGGTTCCCCACTCATCTGTGTGGCTGAACGTACCTGGCATGTCCCGGTAGTGGCCAGAGGACATGCCACGGGAGGATGTCTCCGGGGCTGGGAGAGGGGTGCTGCCAGCCACTGAGTGCAGCACAAGGACGATGGCATTCACAAGCGCGGGATGAGCTGGAATTAGCCTGGAGAGCAAGAGTGGAAAAAGGAATCACACGTGCAAGGAAACTAAGAAGTCAGCAGTTCAATACCAGTAAAGAACTTTTGGCAGAGCCATCACTGCAGGCTGTGCCAACACAGCCTCACATACTGCCTGTGGCTGTCCAGCAACAAACACCTCCCCACCTTGCTCCACACAGCCCGAGAAGCTGAGGCTCCTTGATCCCATGTGGACCCTCTCATTGTATACACGTCCCACATGCTCTCACAGGAGCAACTCTCTGCCATGAGCAATCAGATTGGGATTTGAACCTATGATCTGTATGCGATGACAGCTCCATCTCCCACTAAATATCCTTTGGTTGAATCCAAGAGTGAAGGTAGATGTGTCTCAAAGTATCAGTTCCCTCTTTCCTGCTGCTGAGGAAGAAAAGTCCCATCCTGAATGTCCAGCCTGACATATCTGCACTGGCAGGCAGGAGCAGAACTGTCTCCCACCCAGAGAGAATATGCCTAAGCAACAGCTCAACAAAGGCATTGCTTAGTCACTGCACCAGCTCATGTGAACTTACGTGTCCAGCATGTTGGGGTCTGCAAACACTGAAAAGAGATCCTTGTCCTGTAGGACTCCTGGGAAGAACCAGGAAACATGATGAGTAAGAGAGGATGCAAGAAACAGGAGCCAGTCGAACAAGAGCCACGGGAAAAAGCAAAAGAATGAATTGTTTTTCAGGAACTGAGTCACTAACAGATGCCATAAATACATTATTATTGTTCTCTCCAAAGCGTTTTGCATCTCCCTGGAGAGTCTTTCTATCACAGTCACACACCCAAGGGATGGGGCTTTCCTAGCAGATCCCCCAGACAGCTCTGCTTTAACAGTACGATCAAATCTGGCACCCAGCTCATCCCAGTCAGCTACTTGCTGTGAGAGCCTACACCCACATCCCATATTCCACCTGTCTCATAGCAAGGTGCCCCAAAGGCTAGTAACTTCCCAGGCCAGAACAAGCACCCTAGATTTAACACTTTTGTAATACTTTGCAGCAGGGAAAAACATCCATCCCGCTGCTCTCCTTGATCCCTAATCCTTTGAAGCCAGTGTCCATCCCAAACATTACCAAGAGAGCACAACTCTGACACCTGAGCAGGCGCTGACTCTTGTGCTCCACAAAGGAACCAAAAAAGCCCACTTTCTCCTGTGAAGGGGAACTCTCCCTTCCCCGTGTCAGGAATTAAACACTGAACATCATTACTTGGCTTTCTTCAGATCCTCTGGATCACACCTGGACTCACCCAAAGCAACAGGGTCACTGCTGAGGCCGGGAGTAGCTACAATAATCTGATCCAGCGACTCCTTGTTCCCCAGCATTTTGAAGACCTACCAAGAGAAATGAGAGCAGATCAGCAGCGTCAAACGAAGCTCCACTCAAGGACTCTTTTCACAGAAGACAGACAAAAGACAATCAGACAGCACAGTACAAAGCCTCACTCACAGCATCTCTGTAGGCAGGACTGCTGTGCAGGGCAGTGTGAAGGACCCGGAACTCCCGTACTGCTGCCACCTTATCCACAGGCTCTGAGGGAGGAAAAACAACAGAACAAAACACAGTTCTCCCTCTGTCAGCTTTACTAGCCATTTCACACACCCCTGGGACTCACACACTGCAACAGCGGCGGTGATTCTTTAATTCACCTGGATTTGACGGATCCAAAGAGGAAGGGTACAGACTAATGAGCGCAAATATCTCTGTACAGCTACCACAGCCTAACAAGTAACTGCGCTTCCAGGAAGATAAAAATATACAGATATAACCTCCTACACGTACAAAAGGAGCTGTAGAATCATAGACTGGTTTGGGTTGGAAGGGACCTTAAAGATCATCTAGTTCCAACCTCCCTGCCATCAGCAGGGACACCTTCCACTAGACCATGTTGCTCAAAGCCTCATCCAGCCTGGCCTTCAACACTTCCAGGGAGGGGGCATCCACAGCTTCTCTGGGCAACCTGTTCCAGTGTCTGACCACCCTCACAGTGAAGAACTTCTTCCTAATATCTAATCTAAACCTGCCCTCTTTCAGCTTAAAGCCATTTCCCCTTGTTCTGTCATTAGTTGCCCTTATGAAAAGTCCCTCCCCAGCTTTCTTGTAGCCCCTTCAGGTACTGGAAGGCCACTATAAGATCTCCCCGAAGCCTTCTCTTCTCCAGGCTGAACAGCCCCAACTCTCTCAGTCTGTCCTCATAGGAGAGGTGCTCCAGCCCTCAGATCATCCTCATGGCCTCCTCTGGACCTGTTCCAGCTGCTGAAGGTCTCTCTTGTGATGGGCGCTCCAGAACTAGACACAGTATTCCAGGTGAGGCCTCATGAGAGCGGAGTAGA